CTTCACCACTGAATTCCTTTCCTCTGTAACGTCACTTGGTAGTCAGCCTAGGTGTGGTGTTGTGTTTCTTAAAAACAGACAGCAGTCAGCATGACTATGAATGTGTGGCCTTGGAATGCTTTAGACATGCAGCAGTCAATCAAAAGGAACAGAGCTTCAGTTCTGGAGAGGTGGAGAAGCACATTACAATCATGTAATAGCCTCTGATGGAAGGATACATGAAACCCAGTTGATAGTTCTTGTTTATACATTTTAATGTGATTTAATGTTTAGCATCTTAACATTGATCTATAAGCATAACTGTACTAGGAAGTAGGGTTGTAAAATCCTGGTTAACTAGTTAATCAATTAACCATGGTGGGCATGGGACTGCTTCAGCCCACCAGTTAATCGTAGCCAGTAAGGATCATGCTTACGAGTTAACCATTCACATCCATATTAGGAGGGAATATTGGTGCTTTCTTATGATCGTACTGGATTTGCAGTAGGACGATCACATCATCCCCTTGCTCCTTAATTCCAAATCAGTTGTGATTTCTCTAAAAATCTCTGTCTGGAAAACTTCTTAGCAGTGTAATGGGGATGAGGGAAGGCTCTAGTAGCATTTGTGTATAGTTGGGGAGCAAATGGGGACCAGTGCAGCTGTCAGGAGTATGTTTGCTCATTGTCTGCAGACTTGTTTTCTGGTTGCTGTTCTTTGTTTGCTTGTTCTTCTCCTTTATCTGTTGCTTTTCTATTCTGTCTTTTGCTGCACTAACAAAAGCTCTTTCTATGTTTTTACAGGCTCTTTCTTGATAAGGATATGCCTAGGTATTTTCTGTTTGCTTCCTTTTGCACATAAAGGTTCTTGTGGAATAGAATGCTTTATGTTTCACTTGTGTTGCTACCTTTTCCCTTCTAGCTATTAGTGGTTTAGTCAGCAAACCTCTTGACTCTTCAAGTAGTGGTATATTTTCTCCTCCCTTGTTTGCTGGGAATTTGTCCTTATGTGTTCACGTATTTAACAGTAGGAAGACAAATTTCCTTCATTGTTCAACAGAAACAGCTTACACTGGTCCTTGCTTTACCCTTTCAAAAGTGTAAACAGAACATAACTCCCCGTTCCCCTTCTCCTCCTTTGTCCTACACCAGATAATCGTGGCCAGCAGTTAAACTATCTCTGACTATTTGTAACATATTTACCACATTGGAAGTCCCAGGACCAGGACAAAATGAAAAGGTTACTGGTTTATTGCCATCAGGTGATGGTTTGGCTTTAGATTTTTAATTTATTGCATCCCAAAATCATAATTGTGATGGCTATTAATTGGCCTTCCTAGGAGCTAAGATGCCAACAACTGAAAGGGTACATGAACTTCTGAGAAGTGCTTCTCTACTTCATGGCCAAGGCATGCTGGCTGAGTAGTGTGGGGGAACTTGCACTGCTGCTGCCTATATTCTACCTGTTTTTTAAACAAAGAAGCACCTAACACTAAAGTTCATTTTAAAATAGAACCTAAGTAAGCGTTGGATTCCTATCTTGGCTCCTACTTTCTTCTTTGCTTTGCCTTGTTCTGTTCTTCCCCTTGATCCCAGGTATCACTTGTAACCTACTCTGTGTTGAAAGCACAAGAGGTTTGCTTAGTTGAGATTTTTGTTTGTCTCTTGACTTGTTTTAGCAAGGTCTGGTTTGAACGAGAGGCCTACATGTATTCATCTCCCCATGAGAACAAATGCAGTAGTGGCTATTAATCTCACTTGGGGATTGCACTGACTTGTTCACCCACATTTTCTCACTTTGCAATGATCACTCCTGTCTCAATGGGTTTTAATAAAGCTGTGAGAAGTGGTCCTATTGAACGGCACAGAAAGTAAAGCGTGCATGAGAGTTTTAGTGCACTTGCCGTCCGTCTCTGGAGACTTACATTTGTGTTCTCAGCCCGAGGAATTGGTGAACTCCGTCACGTCCCAGTTTTTTACTCCCATAACAAATCTTGCATGCACTTGATAGTCCATATTCAGAAGTGGTGCTTGACTCACGTGGAAGAAGGGGCATTGCAGTTGCTGATTGAGTGGCACTTTGTGAATGAAGTTCATGCAGCACTTGCCTGCACTGTGCCCTCTTCCATTAATGCTACATCTGTCAGTCATGAACATTCACCTTTGCTAGACTGAGGTACCCGGGGTCTCCGTTACAGTGTTACAAATCTCAACTGGGGCAAGGCACTGATTGACCATAGCACTGATTACTGCACATTGTTTGACTGCATTAATGTAGATTGCACATTTGGCACCAAAACTTTTTAGATCTCATATGAACCAAGCAGCAGCTCCATGCCAAGCTGAATGCAGTAATGGCCATGTGGCACTTTCAGGTGACAAGACAAGAATTAGAGCAGCAGAATATGGGTAAGGGATCAGTCTGAATTTTCTCTGTCAGACTGTCCAGAGCAGCATGTCCTTTGGCTCAGAAGAGTAGCAGTTCTGCTTTTTGTAACTAATGGGTAAAAGATTCCATCAAAACCGGGATGGAAAAAAGATTAAAATGCAGGGTTCAATTAACACAATTCTCTAAAGGATTAGAAAGCAAGCTGCTTTCTGTCCCTGATCTTTTGTCCTGGTTTTAAAGTGAGGCCCACTTACATAGTAGTGTCACTCAGATCTTCACTTCTCTAGCATTCTGCCCCTGCTTTGGCATGGGGCTCTTCTGTGGCACTGTCTTGCTGGCAGGCGAAGCAGCAATATTTCTCTAAAGATAGAACGTAATGTTGTTTAGCACCACTGACTTGGATTGGCTGACTGTATCATCCTCATGGGCTACTGAGTCACCTTTATGAACTCTGTTAATCTATGTCATACATCTAGGGCAGGGTGGGCAATCATTTTTGCAGGGGGGCCACTTCATGAGTTTTGCTACCTGGTCATGGGCCAGCTCCCCCCCCCCCCCCCCCCCGAAGGGGGCAGGGCTGGAGCGGAAAGGCCAGGGCCTAGCCTCCCTCCAGAGTTTCCTGGGGGTGGAGGCTTTGACTTAAACACAGAAAAGGGCGCTCAGCTCCTGGGGACCACATCACAGTTACCGGGGGATTGCTGTGGCTATTTAAAGAACTCGGAGCTCTAGCCCGTCAGAGTAGTGCCGCGACTGGGAGCCAGGAGCCATTTAAATAGGATTCTGCTGCCTGAGCCACCATCTGGAAATTTGGTGGCATGGGCAGCAGGATATAAATAGAAAATTGGCCAGATGCAGTCTGTGAGCTGGATCTAAGTGTTAGGTGGGTTGGATCTGGCCCCCGGGATGTATCTTGCCCAGCCCTGATCTAGGGAGAGGGAGGATTTCTGGGATGCTAGTTTTAAGACTGGCATTCTTGTGTCTGCCCTGTCTGCTCTCAAGCTGTTTCTCATCCTGCCATTTGTTTGTTTTTCTTTTTGTTCTCTCTCTAGACTTTGTCTCTAGTTTCTTTTCTTATCTTTCTGGAGTAGTTCTGGGTACTAGCACAGGAGTTCTATACAGGTAGAGCTGGCTTACAGAATGGAACTACTAAGTTCATAACGTGTATACCTTTCCTTGCAGACCAGAGTCAGTTTGGTAATGGGTGTCAATCCTAGTCCATTCTCAGCTACTGATTTGGGCTGAGGAGGGGATCAGGAAAGTGAAATTACAAAAGAGGCCTTTGCATCAGGGGATTTTGAAAGGCTACTGAGTCCACAGCTGCCTTTCTCTCTGCACACCCAGTTGAAAAAGGCTTTCTTCTTTCAGCCTGTAATTGGTCTGTAAAGCTTCACATGAGAGAGAGAGAGGCTCAAGTGAGCATGAGAATAGTCTGGGAATAAACATTTGTTTCTCCTTATAGGCTTATGGGAGAAGAACTCCTTGTTGCCTTAATTCAAGATTTAGACCTGTTTCTGGGTTATTCTGATCACCTGAAGAAGTTATTGTGTTATATTAGTGCTACTGGCTTCTCTCCTCTGTGTTGTCTGGAAATGGGTGACAGGAGAGGGATCATGTGAAGATTACCTGTTGCGTTCCCTCCCTCTGGGGCATCTGGTATTGGCCACTGTCAGCAGACAGGATACCGGGATAGATGGACAATTAGTCGGACCCAGTATGGCTGTTCTTATGTTTGGTTTGAGAGTCTGATTTGCACTGTGGTGGGTACTTATACACCAGCCCCAAAGCATACTTCAAACTAAGGACAATGGTTATAGAAAGAATCCTTCCCTGTATCTTGGAGTCATAGACACTTAGAAAGAATTGAATCCATTTTTAAACTCTGTCCTCTCCACCCAACTCCCGCTTGGTCTTATGGTTCTTTTCTTTCGTTTCTCAATTCAACACCTTCCTCTGGGCCTTAAGCAGAATCTTTATCTTATAACAGGCCAGAACACATTCAACAGATTAATTTAGATGTAGTGTCTTGGACACATTGAAGCTGGTGATTAAGGAAGCCCTGGAGCTGTGTTCAAATGTTAGTGAAGATGGGGCTTTCCTACAGGTGTTCACTGGCTAACCAGCCCTGTTTAATAAAGAACGCATCATAAGGTGGAGTCCAGGAAGAGACACTTGACACTCATTTGTAGTGGAGACCGAGATGCTTTTACTATTAAGCTTTTGTTGTACTTGCTACAGGACTTTCTATCGTTTTGAGGCTGTTTGGGATAGCTCCTTGCATAACTCCCTCCTCCTCAATCGAGTGACACCCTACGGAGAGAAGATCTATATGACCTTGTCTGCATATCTGGAGGTGAGCATTATATGCCCCACTACTTGTGTTCAGGGAGCTGACAGACTTTCTGGGACCCTGGGCAAGGTTTGGTCGGGGTTCTCTGCACTTCTAAAGTGGGGTAGGGCCTTGGGCAGAAGGGGCAGCGATTGGGTCTGCCAGCCCTCAGCATGGCCAGGAGTTGTGACATGCTGTGGCCCTTTCCCCTGGCCCCAGACAGCCCTCGGAGCGGTCCGGAGCATGCTGTGTAGAGTAGTGCTCCAGCGGCAGTTTAAAGGGCCTGGGGCTCTGGCCATGGCCATTCCTGTGAACCCCAGGGCAATTCCTCCCCTCACCCTATCGACAGGCCTGGTGCTTAATACGATGTGCTCACTGCCAGAGGATGCAGATTGAAATCTAGCTAGCAGTATGTTTTTAAAAAACCCTAATGAGTATGGCTCTACTTAATTTGCGATACTGCCCAAATTTAGAATCCCACCGTATTAGGCTTTCCATTGCAGTGATGTCAGCTGGGTGGCTGACTGGGAGTGGGTTTTCCAAATGACTGCAAATAATAAAGGTCCATTATTAGTTTTGTGATTTTTTTTTTTCCTTATCTTGTCTGCAACCTAGCGCAATTATTTCAGTCATTCCGCAATTCAAGTAGGGTCTTACTGAAGAGTGAACAATGTCACTATGAAGACAGTGAAAATGAATGCTGTGGTATGTATAGATCATCATCATTTGCTTTGTGTCTGACAGCCGTTTGTTTCTTTGTTTTAGCTTGACCACTGCATCCAACCAGCTGTGATTACTAAGGATGTCTGTATGGTCTTCTACTCACGAGATGCCAAGATTTCACCACCACGCTCGCTGCGCAGTCTCTTTGGCAGTGGCTACTCTAAATCCCCGGACTCGTAAGTTTAATAGGCATCTTCAGGTGCTTTTTTTTTTTTTTTTTTAAAGCAGCAGAGTGTATTTCTTCTAGTATATGTTATTATAGGTGTTCCACCATAGGATGTGCATGTGCTTGTGTGCTTTCAACTGGAGATTGTAAAGTGGTTCCATAGAGTGGCCAGCTTTTAATTCAGGAAATCAAGACACTAATCCCCAGAACCTCTCCCACCTCCTGCTCCGCCTCTTCCTTTGGGACCTCACTCACTGCTCTCTCCACTATCCTGCCCTCTGAGCAGGGCTGTAGGGTAGAGGGGTGACTGGGGCAAATGGAGAAAGAGAAAGCCAGGCTCCAGTGGTGAGTAACTGGGCCAAGATGAGGGGGAGAGAGCTGCCCTCAGGGAAGGATGGGGAATCTGATGGTACTTCTCCCCACCTGAACTGTTGCTGAGTGCTCTGCTGCTGCTTCAGGCTCCAACAGCAACTGCTGCTCTTCCTGCCCCTCCCCATGATGGATGCCAGACTGAGTCGAGACAGCACTGTTGATCAAACACTGTCCAGGGTCCCTTTTAGATTGGACATTCTGGTAGAAAACCAGACACCTGGCAGTCTTGGGTCCATGTCGGCGCACACAGCAGCACCTGAAGCTCTCCTATGAAGGTATATAGGGAAGTGTGACCTTGCCCCTGCTCAGTTCCTTCTCAACTGCCTGCTGCTTGAGATGGAGCATTTGGAGACAATATTTTACAGCTTCCCACCTTTTTCATATATAGTGAAATTTCTTATTTAGTTACTTTGTTTTTCTCAATTTAAATCTATTTTTATGTAGTTTCAGCACCATTGCGCTTTCGGGTGGGTTTGGCCCACTGGATTGTGCCTAAGACTCTAGGGTTTAAGCCTTGCCCAACCTGCCAAAAATTTTTTCCTAAAGGTGACAAGCACTGTGACACGTACTGGAGATTGTATTCACTCTGGTCTTGTATTCACTCTGTTTACATTGTTGTGTTGTATGTGATTCTATTATTGTGCTGTGCGCGCGCACGCATGTGCACCTCAGTTCCCTGGGCACTGTAACACTATCTGGATGAGGAGGGAGAGCTGGGCATGACTCACTGTGGAAGTATGAACTTAAAAAACAACTCCCTTCCTCCCTTCCTTGGTAATGGTGGCCCGGCTGGGGCTCCGCACACCCCCACCCCACCCATGGGGGCACAAGGTAGGGGCATGAAGGTAGAGGGAGCATGTGCACTGCCAACAGCCATTCCCCCTTTTCATACTGCAGTAACAGCCATGCTCACTGAAGGGCCGCCTTACTCTGAGGAGTGTTGGGGGTGGGGGACAAAGGAGTGTTGGGTGAGGGTGTGGGCATGGCCTGTAGGAGTCAGAGGTCAAAGGGCATGGGGCCAAAGGGTGTTAGGCACTGGGGAGCAAGGGACTGAGATGGGGCTAGGCAGTCAGGTAACATTGTATTTCTTCTTCAAAAGTGTCCCTGTGGGTGCTCCACCTTCAGGTGCACCAGCGACACTTTGCCCACTAGTCAGAGATTCTTAGTAACAGTGCCCCCCGACTGGCCGTGCACGCAGTGCTCAGGTGCGAGACGCCTGGAATGTGTAATGCGCATGCGCGGCCAGCCAGCTCCTCAGTTCTTCTCTGACTGCCATCGGCTTCAGTTGCAGCTCAGCAGTACCCCTCACATACTCATCTCTCTTTATTTAGATTATTTTTTTTAATCCCTTTCAACTATTTTTGTTGTTGATATTATTCAGCTTTTTTTCTTAAAAAAAGAAAAAATTCTGTGAGGCAGCGTTTTTTGCTGTGTCCCATGGCTCCACTTTGATAGCGGCTGCTTAGTTTCTGCCTATATTACTCAGGACATGCCTAGGTTTAAAATGTGTTTGGACTGCTGTGTTTAGCAGATCGCTGTTCTCTGTGTCTCCACTGCCTGGGTCACAATCATGATACAGAGCACTGTCAGCATTGCAGGAAATTGACTAAGTGCACAAACAGAGCCAGACAGCTTCAGCTGTGCATTTTATTACAAATGGAGAAAGCATTGAAACCTCCCTTGGACTCTTCCCCAAACTCGCTTCTCAGGTATAGTCCACCAAGGGCAGAGGCAGGTAAAAGGGCTATTTCTGCTACAAGTCCATACACCAAAGGAAAAAATCTCTCTCAGCGAGACCTCACACTTACTCGGGGTCTACATCCTGATGAGGAAATTCACAAACGCAAAGCCTGATACTGCTGCCTTTACACTGTCAAGGAGTTTCAGGGGGTAGCCGAGTTAGTCTGTTACAGGGGAAAAAACAAAAAACAAAACAAAAAAAAAAACAGCACGCACATGGTCTGGTAGCACTTTATAGACTAACAAAACATATAGATGGTATCATGAGCTTTTGTGGGCACAGCCCACTCCTTCAGATGACCGGAGTTATGATTAGAGGATGAGGAAACTCGAAATAAATAGGGGAAGGGGAGGAGGGGGAAAGAAAGATGTTCTGTCGCCCACCCCCTATCTCTATGCATAAAGTATCAGGAGAAAGGGTATTAAACCTGAGTAGATAAAGATCAAAGTCAGTGGATGGATAAGGCCGGAAGGATACTATTCAGAAAGTAGTTTCACCGCCCCATATCTTGATTAAGTCCACTCTCTGCCAGACCTCATCCTCCCAGCCTGCACTCACTAGACAGGTCTGAACTTTCCAAAGACAAAGATGACATGGATGTCACAGGGGTGGAGCAATCTTCCCGCTCCCCCCTACCTACATATTCTTCTCCATCCTCGTCAGTAGACGCAATTATGCCCCCATTGCTCATGGATTCAGGGGACTATTTCAACGCCTTTCAAGACCTGTTGAAGAGGGTAACCAACAAACTGGAAATATCCCTCTCCACTCCTCCTGACACACAACACAAGCTAACTCATATTCTTCATGCCTCGGCACAAACTAGGCTCTTAATACCCATGAATAAGGCATTGATGGATCCAGCTAAGCTTCTCTGGAAGACCCTGGTGACATTCCCACCTACATCAAAGAGACTTGATTGGAAATACTATGTCACCTCAAAGAGTGTGGAATTTCTCTTGACTCACTCCTCTCCAAACTGTCTAGTGGTATGGGGGGCTTCTGATTGAAGTGGTAAGGGGCGCTGTATCAGGCGCCCCCCCATAGGTTGCCGCCCAAGGGCGGGGCTGCGCAGGCACTGCATGCCCGGGGGCAGAGCCACGCATGTGTCGCACGCCCTGTACATGTCCATCAGGTGCCGCCCGCACGCTGCCCAGGGCGTAAGAATGGCTCGGGCCAGCCCTGATTCCACAGATACAGCTTCTAGATCTCTGGCATCTTCAGTGGTGATGAGGCACATGGCTTGGCTCCAACTGTCAGAGCACATTCGAGGACCTCCCATTCGAGACATCCCGACTCTTTGCAGACATCACGAATACAACTCGTGAAAGATTTCCCAAGTCACACTCCACACACTTCGCATCCAGCCTCCTGCCAGTAGAAGAAAGCAGAATAGACAATTGACATCTAGGTACAAACTGACACCTTTCAACCACACTAGACGATACAACAGATGACATTCAAGACAACTCAGATGTAGACAATCATTGAAGCAACCCGTCGCCCAACAAGCTCCAGCATGTCAGTCATTTTGAAGTCTTGGTCGAGGGTCAGACAGTCCCGATACATCCAGGGCCAGCAATCCAAACCTTCTACCACCTTGGGCTCCAGACTAGCAGCATTCTGTCCTGCCTGGCGATCCATTATGACCAAGAAGTGGTTTCCGAGATCATCAGCATGTGTTACATAATCGCCTTTACCTCCACCCCACCCATCCACAACCACCATTCCCATCCCTCTTCAGGGATCCTTCTCACAAGGCTGTGCTCGTAGAAGAGGCACAACATCTCCTGCATAGGAGGTGCCCTTCGAGTGCAGTTTTTATTCTCACTACTTCCTCATAACCAAGAAATCAGGGGGTTGGAGACTTATACTAGATGTCAGTCGGTACATGCGTTATCGGTGCCTCAAAATGGTGACCCTTGCCACAGACATACCCACCCTCGAGAAAGGAGATTGGCTGTCCACCCTCAAACTTCAGGATGCTTACTTCCACATTGCAATAACTCGTCCCACAGACACTTCCTCAGATTTACAGTAGCGAACCAACATTTCCAGTACAGAGTCCTACCTTTCAGCCTATCTCCTGCCCCAAGGGTATTCTCAAGGTGCTAGCAGTGGTAGCCGCTCACCTCAGAACAACCATTTTTCCCTACCTCGACGATTGCCTCATAAAGGGCCTGTCACCTTACCCATATGCAGCAGGCAGTGACATTTACCAGGGAATTTTTTGACAGACTTGGGCTATGCATAAACCTGGCAAAGTGTGTCTTGCTGCCAATGCAGACACTGGACTTCATAGGGGCACATCTGGACTGCAAAACAGCCATAGCCTCACTTCCACAACACAGGTTCACAGCAATTCATGATTTGATGCAACTGGCACAGTTCAGCCCCAGTATAACTGCCAGGCAGTGCCTGTGACTTCTCAGCCACATGGCAGCCACCGCCACCATGGTGCCTTTTTCATGCCTGCGTATGAGACTGATGGAGACCTGGCTCAGGACAGTGTACAGGCCACATGTACACCTGTGAACAAGTCTCTCAACATGCCATGCAGCATAAAAACTTCTCTTACCGGGTGGACACAAGACCAGAATGTATGCAGAGAGGTCCGCTTTCAACGGAACCCCTAATGCTTACAATTACCACAGACTCCTTACTAACAGGTAGGGGGGGGCTCATTTGCAGGACCAGGTTGTCCAACTGAGGTGGACACAAGATGAGCAATGCAAACACATCAACTTGGTCAAGCTCAGAACAGTCCGGTATGCATGCTTGCACTTCTCCCAGATAATATGCAACAATACAGTCCGCAATCTGACGGACATGACAATGCACTACATCAACAAACAGGGTGGTGTCCATTCTCGCTAGCTCTCTCGGGAAGCAGTACAGTTATAGGTTTGATGCATCCCTCGCCACATTCATCTCATAGCCATATATATCCCAGGCAGAGACAATACGTTAGCAGACTATCTCAGCAGAAACTTCTCCCTCAATCATGAGTGGGAGGTCAACACATTGACCATCAATCATCTGTTCTGCAGATGGAGGTTCCTTATGGTGGACCTTTTTTGCCACACACACAAACTCACGGTGCCCTCACTGTTGCTCCAGAGCGGGATTGGGCCCCAGCTCTCTGGGGCATGCGTTCAACATCAAATGGGATGCGCCTCTATCATCTGCAGTTCTGCCACTTCCTCTTATACAGAGGGTGATTCTCAAAATAAAACTGGACAGAGCCAAAGTGATAGTGCCGTGGTGGCCAGACCTGGTATCCAGCCCTTCTACAGATGGCCAGCCTTACCTCACATTGCTTCCCTCCCTGTTTTGTCACTGCTCACATACCAGAACAGGAAGATTCACCACCCTGCCATAGAGTATCTTCACCTGCACATGTGGCTCCGTGCTGGCTAACCACGACGTAGATCCAGTGTCCTCTAGAAATTCACACTATTCTCATGAACAGCCATAGGCCTTCAACGAGGAAAACGTGTACTGAAAAGTGGCAGCGTTTCACCAGTTCGTGCTCCACTAGACACTGCACCCCCATCAGACTGGAATCCCACTGATATTTACCTACTTATTACATACACCTTCACAATGCAGGTCTATCATTTAGCTCCATCAGGGTCTCCCTTGCACCCATATCTGCATTCCATGGCCCATACAGGACCACTCGGTTTTCACTCATTCAACAGTTTAAGAAATTTCTACAAGGCCTGCACAATACATTCCCACCAACGAAAGAACCAGTCCCAACATGGGACCGTAATCTTGTGCTCAAGGCACTAATGGGCAAACAGTTTGAACCTCTAGCTACGTGCTCCCTTCTCCACCTAGCTATGAAAGTGGCCTTCCTCGTGCTTATTGCTGCTGCATGAAGGGTGGGAGAGTTGGGTGCGCTTATGACCGACCCGCCCTCTATGGTTTTCCACAAGGACAAGGTGGTCCCGACCCATCCTAAATTCCTTCCCAAAGTACTTACCACATTCCATTGAAATGAACCAGTTTATTTACCTGTCTTCTTCCCCAAACCTCATACTGATGTCCAGGAAAGAGTTCTCCATACCCTCGATGTCCGCAGGGCAGTGACCTTTATTTGCAACAAACGCACTCGTTCTACAAAACGCCTCGCTTGTTTGTCTTCTCCATGGAGAGATCTCAGGCACTACCAATCTCTAAACAGAGACTGTCCAAGTGGATCTCAGACTGCATAAAACTGGCTTGTGCCATTTTCAACAAACAGCCTCCTTCGGCCGTAAGTGCCCATTCCATAAGGGCAATGGCTGAGTCCACAGCCTTCCTCCACGGTATCTCCACAGATGAGATCTGCAGAGCAGCCACACGGGCTTCTGCTCACACTTTCACTCGTCACTGCGCCATCCAATTGTATGCAGACACTCACACTCGATTTGGCCACTTAGTACTTTCAGTAGCCGAAACAAGCCTTCCAAAGGTCCCACCTCCTAACACTGATACTGAATGCATTGTTTGTTCCAGACAGTTCAGTGCCCCCCACTCCAGACTTTTTCCTAGACCTTCTGAGCCTTTGAGGAGCTCGAGCCTTTAAAAAGGGACCATCCCCTTCTTACAATCTATATCTCCCTCTAAGACCGTTTTGACATCTTAGTTGAGGGCATTGAGACCATCTATGTGTTTAGTTAGTCTTTAAGATGCTGCTAGACTATTCGGTTTTTATGTTTTTCCAAAAAAAGTGTGTAAATGTAAAATAATGGTTAAAATCATACTTTGCTTTAAAGGCCCAGTTTGAAAGTCCCACCTACATTCAAACTAAACACGTAGATGGTATCATGAGCTTTCGATTGGACACTTGCAATGAGAGCAAACAGTCCCTCATCCCTGAGGGTCCACTAACTGTAAAAGCATTCTTGCTACTGCTGTGGTTATGCAAAGAACATCTTGACTCCAGTCTGAAGAGCATCCCTTTTGAACTCCTCTCTCCGTACCTGAAAGATTCATTGTATGCATTTCTCCACGGTATCTCCACAGATGAGATCTGCAGAGCAGCCACACGGGCTTCTGCTCACACTTTCACTCGTCACTGCGCCATCCAATTGTATGCAGACACTCACACTCGATTTGGCCACTTAGTACTTTCAGTAGCCGAAACAAGCCTTCCAAAGGTCCCACCTCCTAACACTGATACTGAATGCATTGTTTGTTCCAGACAGTTCACTGCCCCCCACTCCAGACTTTTTCCTAGACCTTCTGAGCCTTTGAGGAGCTCGAGCCTTTAAAAAGGGACCATCCCCTTCTTACAATCTATATCTCCCTCTAAGACCGTTTTGACATCTTAGTTGAGGGCATTGAGACCATCTATGTGTTTAGTTAGTCTTTAAGATGCTGCTAGACTATTCGGTTTTTATGTTTTTCCAAAAAAAGTGTGTAAATGTAAAATAATGGTTAAAATCATACTTTGCTTTAAAGGCCCAGTTTGAAAGTCCCACCTACATTCAAACTAAACACGTAGATGGTATCATGAGCTTTCGATTGGACACTTGCAATGAGAGCAAACAGTCCCTCATCCCTGAGGGTCCACTAACTGTAAAAGCATTCTTGCTACTGCTGTGGTTATGCAAAGAACATCTTGACTCCAGTCTGAAGAGCATCCCTTTTGAACTCCTCTCTCCGTACCTGAAAGATTCAAGGACAATGCTGTGCTCACTGGGAATTTGTGCTGGCAATGAAAAGATGCTTTAGCAAATCTCAGAATGCATTGTTTGTTCCAGACAATGCACTGCCCCCCACTCCAGACTTTTTCCTAGACCTTCTGAGCCTTTGAGGAGCTCAAACCTTTAAAAAGGGACCATCCCCTTCTTACAATCTACACCTCCCTTTAAGACCGTTTTGACACCTTAGTTGAGGGCACTGAGACCTTTTGCTGTACAACTCTACTATCTTGCTCTGCTTTTTGGAGACAGACTATCCCACTTCTTGTCCTTGGGAGCAGTCAAACTGGTTCCAGGGAGGAAACTAGCTTACATACACTAGATGTCAGGAGGGTATTTGGCTTCATCCTTGATTAGGACTAAAACTTTCAATGTCTCTCCCAGCCTATTTGTATCTTTTAAGGAACAAACAAAGGAACAGCCCATTTCTATGCTGAGACAGTCTCTGGTTGCATATTAATATGCTATGATTCTGCCAGGGTACAATTACCTCAGTGACAGCACACTCCATTAGGGCTCACTCAACATCTATAGCCCTCTGAAGGATGTATGCATTGCAGAAATCTGTCAGACTGCAACTTGGTCCTTCATCTGTGTGTTTGCCAGGCATTGTGCTGTCTTTATCTGGTTCCAGAGCGGATGCATTGTTTGATGACAGAGTCCTCTGAACTGTCTTAGACCTTCTTCCTCAGCACCCACATCCATGTAAAGTTATTGTTTGGGAGTCTCCTACAGCGGAGCACCTGCAAGGACATATACTCAAAATATAAGAGGTTTCTCACCTGTACAGTAACTTGAGTTCTTAGAGGGGTTTTGCCCTTATGAGTGGTCCAGCTCCTGTTGTCCTCCCCACTGTTGTGGAGTCTCCGGCTTTGCAGTTAAGAAGGTACTGAATGGTATTGTCCGCACTTCCCTATACATGCTGATAGGAAAGCATTAGGAGCTGCTCTCTGCAGGTGTGGACCCTTGAACACTGTTTTACGGTCTCCAGTCAAGAGCACAAGTCTGTACAGTGGAGCTGTTACTGTACAGCTAAGTAACATCTCCTTTTTCATATACAGACTGAAAGGGAGAATGCAGCTTGGTATTTTGTGAGGCATCATTGAAAGCCTGCTTAGCGGCAGTTCCTAGCTCAATTGGAGGGCATTAAATACTCCTCCTTTATTAGGTTTCCTTCAATACAAACCAAACTGACTGTCCATCAGATTAGCCTCTACAACCAATTTTGGAAAGATAGTTGGATGTCTTAATGGAGGGGAAATATATTTTCCAGCTGGCTTGTGGAGAACATTGGTTATAAACTGTAATTTGCTTAATCAACAGCTTCCTAAGTATAATGGGCTAGAAACAGGGAAGGACAGGAGACAGCGAAAGTACTATCTCTGGGAAGCTGGCAGCCTGGCTGGTTCATCTGCCAGGCTTACAGTGGACAAGAGTCTCTGCTTTTCAGTTACAAGTTTATTTCTATTTTGAAAGCAAAGGATCCTCTGAATCTTAAAGATGTAAATCTTTTCAGAGACAACGTGCTTTAGCTTGATTTATTTCTTGAGATATAACTAGTTTCCTCTCTGGGTGTTTTTGTAACAGCAATCGAGTAACTGGAATCTATGAGCTGAGTTTATGCAAAATGGCAGACACAGGAAGCCCAGGTAAGCAGGAGCCACATGTTCATTCAAATATAGGTGTATGTATGAGTTCATAAGAGTGGGTTATGGCAGATGGCAAACTGCAGAGAATTGATCTGTGTGGACAAGAGGGAATAAATTGCTCCTCTGTGGTGCAGATATGCTTTCATAGCTCAGGAGCAAACAGCACTATCTTGTGGAAACCTTAAACCACCTCTTCTCTGATTTTTAGATCTATATTCAGGGAACTGTCCATCTCTGCATCCTTAAATTCAGACATTTTAAACTCCCTTACGCTTTATCTCTAAGTGTCATAAGAAATTGAGCAATGTAGTTGAATCACAGTACAAGTCCTATGGAGCTGCTTATCTCTACAGGAGTCCTGTCATCCTGTCTGTAGGATGTCACACAGAGACTTGACTCTGTTTATCCATATCCCTGAATGCTGGGAATACCCTCATCTCTCCAGGCTCAATCTGTTGTTCAGACACTTCGAGCTCTGCTCAGTTGGCTTCTGTGAGAAATGGAGTGAATTTTTTTTTAACACTAATGATAGAAATGCCCAAGATAATCCTAACCAAAAGGAAGAAGAAAGCTGTAAGGACACTTCCATTGGGAATTAATATGGTGTAAAAACAGCCTGACCGCATTGGTTCTCCTGTAAATTGGGGCCAAATCTGTAGACAGCACAGATGACCTAGTTGAATGAGGACAGCTCCAGTTAAGAGGAAGTGTGTCAAGTTCCAGGAAAGAAAGACACCTTAGATAACTCCTTCAAATTAGTGAAGTTGAGACTTGGGGAAGCATGTCATGGAGTGAGGGGAAATTTTCCATGATTTTTTTTCCTTCTACCCTTTACTAAGGATTGAATTTCAGAGCTTGCAAATACCTGATTCAGGCTAAATGGCTGTCAATGATTGTCTGGCATTGGGGGGAAAATGCACTTAACTGTTTCTTTTGAATTGGACTGAACATGGTTCAGGCAATTATGAAGGTCAAGGAAAAAAAATATTGCTGATCTACAGCAGAGGCTGGAACTAAAATAATTCCATCCTCTTCCTCCAACCCCGGCCTGACGTGTGTGTGACTGAAGAAGGCATTGCTGCTGATGTAATCCTGATTATTTCACCTACTCTGAATTGAGTTGAGGGTGGGGGTTCCCTGCCAGTTACTGTACATTAAATCTTTTCCCATTCTGCTGTTCTTAAACTGGACTACTCTACTTGACTCCTCAGGAATGCAGAGGAGGAGGAGGAAAGTGCTGGATACTTCTGTGGCATATGTCCGTGGGGAAGAGAACCTGGCAGGCTGGAGGCCCCGTGGCGACAGCCTCATTCTAGAGCATCAGTGGGAACTGGAGAAGCTGGAACAGCTGCATGAGGTACACAAAGGGAAAAAGGGGGAAAGAGCAAGACAAAACTACATCTTCCAGCAGCCTTTTATGCTGATTGTAACTTGCAAATTGGGAGGGCCTCACAAGGACATTTGTTGTTAGCATTTTCAGCAAGATTAAACCTTGGGTAGCGACCCCACTAGATGGGTACAGAGAAGCTGTTCATGCTGGTGAAAACAGCATCACCTCTCCATGCATTCAGCAAAAGCAGTGATTAACTCTTCGGTAGTCTTGCCAGTTATGTCTGTTCCTGGATCTCATGAGACTATGGGAGATATCCCGTTGAGTGAGAGGGGAATTCCTGTGCTCTTGACAATGAGTTAATATTGAATTCTGTTGATTCTCAGGTGGAAAAGACTCGGCATTTCTTGCTACTACTTGAGAAACTTGGCGACAGCATCCCCAAATCCTTGAGTGACTCACTGTCCCCCAGTCTGAGCAGTGGGACCCTCAGCACCTCGACCAGCATCTCCTCCCAAATTTCCACTACCACTTTTGAGAGTGCTGTCACACCCAGTGAAAGCAGCGGCTATGACTCTGCAGACATCGAGAGCCTGGTGGATAGGGAGAAAGAGCTTGCCACCAAGGTACTGGCTGCCCAGAGAACAGAACAGGTTCAGGTTGTGACACTCAAGATGCAGTAAAGATGTTATAACAAGAAACAGTTGAAATATCTAGGGCTTGATAACTCAAGGATCTACACAAGCTTTTCACCTACCTGACTTGGGAACTACAGGAAAGATGAGATAGAAATGACACACAGATCCAACTGGGGCAAATTACAAGGTGGGGGAAGAGGAACAATGAGCTGATCTGCTCTTGTTTTTTAGTTGGTACCTTTTTGGTTTTAATCATTAGATATATGAAATCCTTCTACTAGGGATGTGAAAAGTTAGCCAGTGGGAGCTGGAGCAGCTCCGTGCCCACCACAGTCAGGAAGCTGTTTCAGCCCTGTGGAGCCCATTGGACAGGGGAGCTCCAACCCAGCAAGAGGGGGGAAGGAGGGCACCACAGGCAGAGGTTGCTCCAGCCTGATTCGAGCAGCCCCTGCCTGTGGTGGGCCTGGGGGTGTGTAGAGAGAGGTGCTCCAGCCTAGCTGGGCTGGAGCATGTCTCTTCCACCTACCTCCCCTTTGATTTGTTAACCAGTTAAGCACCATGTTTTGTCAGTTAACCAATTAAACAGGATTTTAATCCCTACCTTCTACTAGGTCATCCTCCGTTTAGGGGATATCTGGCTTACAAGGAGACTTTAGGAACTAGAAACTAGTCTTCTGTCCTTTTCTTTCTTTTTTTCTGTACTCATTCCCCTCGTATTACGTGGCAAATATGCTCTGTCACATACAGAGCCTTGTTTAAACAAGCTGCATAACCAAAATTTTCTGTTCTCTCAAATCTGCCAGTAGGTGTCTCCAATCCGTAAAATTAAGAGATGACTTGGGTGTTGCACTGATAGTGACATACCCAACCCTCCTTCCCTTACTGCTCCTGCCAATAGAAGTGTTGGGTAGTGTAATCACAGGAAATATATTGACTGACATCCATTCTTCTTGTTGGTACCATTACACTGTCTTGGACAGTCTGTACTTCACTAATTCTTGATTGGCTCTTGATTACCTGTTGTGTAATTGGGATCACCTGTTATGTTTTGTTTTATTTCAGTGCCTGCAGCTTCTTACCCACACTTTCAACCGTGACTATAACCAGGTGTACAACAGCATCAGTGATTGTAAGGTAAGAAGCTTTCTGTATTTGCTGTGACAGCAGTCAAACAAGCATTAATCCTGTCTGTTTTTCCCTGCAGTACCTTTTCTGCCCCTTGTTTGATATGCTGGAGTCTTAAGACCCTAAATATTCTCTAAGTTTTAGGTACTGTGTATTTAAAGGCTGCCTATTTCAGTGTTCCCTGTAAACTGAGCACTTAGGCGGCTGCCCAGGAGAGATTCTAGTGCTGCCCAGCTGATTAGCAGAGCACTGGCAGCATATGTTTCTGTTGGTAGTGCACATGACAAAATGTATTCCACACATAGATGAAAAAAATTAGAGGGAATGTTGGCCTATTTCGGTAAAGATTTCATGCCATTAAGTTCACAAGGGATTGGAGTTATAGCTGAATATGATACGATCTACGTTAGACTCAAGCCATTTTATTTAACTTCAGTCTATTGGGGTGGTGTTCAATGGCTCTCTCTGCCCCCAGTTTCCAAAGCTTATGGAAAACAATTTGAGTGGTGCAGTTAAAGCCTTTTCTGGGCTTACCACTAATGCTCCAGCCTAAATAATAGTTCACATTCTGGCATATGGAGTGTTCATCATGTTCCTTGGTTTCCCAGCAACAAAGGATAAACTGAACAACTCGTTTGAGAACTTAGACTTTAGACACAAATGACCATAAAGAAATTAATTGGATGTTACAAAACTGACCACCTCGTGTTGCATTAAGGGATTCTGTATGCAGATCATCAGATGTCTACCATATTGTCAGAGAGTGCCCAGAGAAGTGCTACCATATCTGTTTCAGACAAGGCGATTTCTATAAAGAGGGATTGGTTGCAAAAGCATGGATGTTGTGGTGTTTATCTAATAGAGTAATTAGTATTTGTAGAAATACTCTTCTGAGCGCTCAGCTCTTAATTCTAGATACTCAAATGCAGTGTAATCCTATTAAGGTGACAGGTACCGACTACAAAAATCTCATTCTGCACTATTTTGTGTGTTCCTGTAGCTGTCTGATATCTCTCCAATTGGGCGGGACCCATCAGTGTCCAGTTTCAGCAGTGCCACGCTCACACCTTCTTCTACTTGTCCCTCTCTGGCAGATTCAAGATGCAATTCAGTGGATCAGAAGTAAGTAGAGATGGGGGAGGAACAAACCAGATCTTAAACAAATCATCTCTTTCCTAACTATGCTTCCTTATTCTCTCTTGCTCTCTTCTATGAATGTACTGTCTTCATCTTTTTTTCTCATCATAAAGAGGCAGTAATGTGAAATGACTGTGTGTTATGAACACCCCTGCATCTTTAGCATGTAAAACCTCCTGTGGTTCAGAACCGATCCTGATAGGTCAATTTGGCGAGTGATCTCTATTGCTTGGTTTCTCATAGTTATGAAGGATGTATTAGATAAAACTGGAAATCACTTCTCATTGAAGGACCATTCGGTGTTTTCTTTGCTCCTTTGTCCTCAGAGTAGTGCTGACCAGAAAGTGCACTCCTAATATCTGCCCAGCTATAATCTGGGCACAGCTGTTCAATGTTGTAGACCGTGTTTGGAGAGAGATGCAAGAAAGAAACTGTTTGAAGCAACCTACGGGTGGGTTCTGTGTTCTGAGTTGGAGCCTCAGGCTCGTGGTAAGAGTTTTGGAAGTTTGTACAAAAGGCTTTCAATGGCCATGGCATATAATCATTCTGAAACAGGTGGATCAGGCTCATGGCAGAACAGAAGACTGTCTTATGGGAAAAGACAGGCTTCAGAAATACTTTCAGTACTGCTGTCACAACCAGGTGCTTTCTAGTGATTGCTTTTCTCCTTCATTTTTAAAAGGACTCCAGAAGCAAATTCCCGTGCCTCCAGCCCCTGTCCAGAGTTGGAACAATTCCAGCTGGTTCCAATAGTCGAAACCTCCTTCCTGGCCAGAGCTGGAAAGAATGAATTTCTGAACCTTGTTCCAGATATTGAGGAAATCAGACCTGGGTAAGTCAACTGCTGCAGTCAGAGACTTTCCTGTGCTCTTTAAAACAGGGGCTTCTTGGGTTTCCAGTTTGCCCTGCCTCATTTTAAGAAGACAACCACAGCAGCTACCAAGGTTTCTCCTGGCAGCACTGAAGCAGAAGCTTGTGAGATGCTTAGAAGCTACTAGCAGCATAGAGGGAGAGCTGTGTCCATAGTGCTCAGTCCTTCAAATGCTTCATGTAGTGAACTAGTTTGGCTGTAGAGTCTGACCTGTATCCATATTACTGAAGCATAGCTCTCTTTGCATCACTGGTCCTGCGTGCACAGCTAGGTGTCCTTTTGCAAGGGGGAGATGGGGTTAAGCTTTCCGCTGAAGAAACTGCCATTGGCTAGAGTGGGAGTCGGGACTTGTAGGAACAGACCAGTGGGCCTACAGCCTTATTGCCATTTCACTCTGTTACTGGGCCATTCTAGCACTGACTGGGTCCCTTTTTCTTTCTTGGATCAGTACATTTCCCCTTTGTTTCTTCAGCTCTGTGGTCTCAAAGAAGGGGTACCTCCACTTCAAGGAACCACTCTCCAGCTCTTGGGCTAAGCACTTCGTGATAGTCCGTCGTCCGTACGTCTTTATTTACAACAGTGACAAAGATCCTGTGGAGAGGGGGATCATAAACCTGTCCACAGCTCAGGTGGAGTACAGTGAGGATCAGCAGGCAATGGTGAAGGTCAGTCAAAGTGCCTGGGAACTTCAGTCCTTTGTTTAGTCACAGAACAGGAGCTGAATGCTGATGTAAGCTTGCTCCATGCTGCCCTGCCAATCTGGCTGATTTCTGATCCGGATAATCACCTCTAGGATTCAGTGAGGTCCATCTCAATAGTAGTTCAGCCATTAGTGCTCCTGCTGTAGCTGCCAACAACACTTCCATTTAGCACAGTGGTGGTGCAGGGAGCTGCACTGAGACTATCAGTCACCACCTGTCTGGGCAGGATTCAGACTAAGAGGTTTAAGGCTGTGTCCCTTTACCAGTCCCCTGATTTCTCTAGTCCCTTACATGCATATTATATTGACTACTCTAAACTGATTTACTGCAGCAGCTTTATTTGCATTATTGTAGCACTAAGATGCCAAGACTTAGACCCCACTGTGTTAGGTGCTGTGTATACGCACAACAAAAAGACTATCCTTGCTCCAAAGATATTGCCAAAGAATCTGGGTTCACGAGTATTTCTGAATATGCTCTTGTTCCCAGCCTTGGGGCTGAGCAATATACTGAGCACACTTAATGCAACCTGGAGGAAAGAAAATAGGTCCTGTCGGTTGTCTGAAAACCTCCCAGGAAACTCCTGCTGGGAATGGCATGTTCCTATGGCAATGAAGGGGTTAGCCCAATGTGTATCTAGTCTCTGCACCGACAAGCTTGGTTACCTGAGTGAGAACTGTCTTTTTAAATATTTCAGACACCCAACACCTTTGCTGTGTGCACAAAGCACCGTGGGGTCCTGCTCCAGGCCATCAATGACAAAGATATGAACGACTGGTTATACGCCTTCAACCCTCTTCTTGCCGGCACAATACGGTAAGAGGCAGCCCCTGAGTGAGCAGACACTGCAGAGCAGAGATGTAGTTAGTGAGATGTGAGCAGGCAGCCTGTCACATTGTTTTGCATATTTGCTCTGAGGAGATGGGGGAACCAATTCTACTGAGCACTCAGTCTACTGGTGTGGAAAAAAGCCAGCCCTAAAGCCTAGAAAGTGCAGTGGATGCTATCTGGTAAGAAACTGGTGAGCAGACAAATTGAATTTAAATATACCCACAATGCTGCGTATAGCGTGGTCATGAAGAGCTTAAAATGGCCTTTGATCTCCTGAACTTTGCACCACTCACTGCTGGTAGAACCCTCCCCCTTGCTGGTTTTCTCCCAGAGTCCCTGTATTCTAGCCCATGTCAAAAGTGCCTTGTCAGCTGGGCTACAGACTCTCCCTTAAAGGCACAATAACACAATATTTTAAAAAAACTCAGTTCCCATTTTACTGAAGTGTTCATTGAAAACCCAACTGTACTGTGTAGAGAGAGAGGAGTTCTTAAACTACAGTTCCTACCTGATCCTGTCTCCCTCACAAAGACTTTGAGGAAGCAAGTACAGTTTCTAAGTTATCGCTTTTTTTAAACTTCTGTTTAAAAAAAAAAAAAGCAAAATCCCATCAGAGTGGGGCAGACAAGAAACAAAAGACCGAAAGGGAGAGAGGAAAAGTGAGGCTCAGAATGTAATGCCAAACTAGCTAATCCTTTTTTCTTTGTTTTGTGCAGGTCAAAACTGGCCCGAAGACGCACGGGTCTGCTGAAGTACTGAGTCTCTGTAACGTTCTCATCTGTTCTAACTCGCCTTCTGATAGATAAAGTGTTACCTCTCATTTCTCTTTGTGATTCTTGATGGTTTCTCTTGTATGTAATCCTGTGGCTAACTTCCCCTCCCTCTCCACCTTCTTCAGCACTTTTTCTAGCTATTCTAACACTACCCTTTTAATTTTTCAAATGTGTTGAGAATCCTATTAGTAGCATGTGGCCAAAACAAAAGGAAAAAAACAAAAAAAAAACCCAGTGAATATCACACAACTTCAAAAAGAAAAGTGGGTTTTTTTTTGTTTTTTCCTTAAGACTATTGGTTTCCCATTCCAGCTGACTCTCTTTGGTGTCTGTACCACTGTCCTCAATGTTATCTGTCTGAAATGCTTTTTCATTTTCCTTTATTTTGTGACTTTGCAGTAACCACAATGCTGCCCTCAGGACAAGATTCTTACACTAGGGAAATATGGTTCCTTCTAAGTGTCTAAACATAGCATTACCAAGACAGAAGCTGTCACTACTCTCAAGGCTTTCTTAGTCTTGCCTGTCATGTAACATCCCCACTCACCCCTGTGAGAGGTGACCTGTAAGATACCTTAACCTATCCAGGTTGGACTTGAATCTCAGAACCCAGATATCCAGGAATTTGAATTAATTTTGGAGATCGAGGAGGAGTTGATGTTGAGCAGTTCAGAGCAAGGTCTTTTATTGTCTAGATTGAGGGGAGGAGAACAGGAGCAGAGCATAAGTGATGTAGCAGTAGCCTGGAAGAAACTGCCCTGTGAGCTTTTGCCATAGGGGTCTACATTGGCACTTAAAAATAAAAAAAGCCCCTCCCCCCAATTAGCACTTCTCTGCCCCTGTTTTGAGCTGAGGAGGTGGAGTTTTTGGTAACTGTGTGCAGCCAATGTGGCCATGTCCCTCCTGGTTGGGAAAGGAGGTTGTCACTGCATTGGATGCAAATGCTGAAATTTGAAGGGTTCAGCCTTTTCTGATGCTTATGAAGGAAAGTGTGAAGTATTAAAATCCCTGCGTAGTAGTTCTCTTGAGCATATACAGGAATTAACCAGAAGGGTAGGGAGATGCTTCCCTTTACTCTTTGGTCTTGAAAGTTACTGTAGTCATGACTTATCCCTTCCCTGTTTGACTAAAAGAGAAACCAGGATGGCCTGGAAAGCTACTCTGAAAAATGCATCTGGCCTGCACTCTTGGAGTACTTCTGAAATGAGGGCCTCCCACCTTATGGGTACTATCCTCCTTTCTCCAATTCAAACAACATTCAGTCTGATGAAATAGCCTCTCTCCACTCTCTCCTTTTAAAAGCTTAGTGGTGGCAGCACTTCCCAGCCACTGCATGCTCCAGGATGGGAGGAAGCTTTGGCTTCTCTTTGGGGGGGGGGGAGGGGAAGAGTCACATTGCTGTTTGTATGTCACCACCACCTTTCTCCTCCTCCTTTTCTTCAGCTGCCTCCAATTTAAATTCTGTGGATAGGAAGAGAGACCAAGCAGACTCTTAATCCTGGTCACCAGTGTCTAACAAGTGCCTGTTGTAAGATCCCCTGGACAGTGGCAGCTATTGCTAATTTGATATAGGGTCTCTTAGACAAACCTCAAAATCCCTGCCCTCCCGCTCCTTCAGCTCTTCCTCCAAAGACACAGTGAGTTTCCTTTCTCTGGGAGATGAATTTCCAGCTTAGGTTTCTTGGTGGCTGAAGAGGAGTTTTTTAGCATCCATTAAAACCCCTTCATTATATTTTAGCAGCTCCTAGAGGGTGGGGATGTACAGAGTACTCATGAAATTTTGGCCCGTGGAAGTGGCAAGAGGGGTTTATTTCACTAGCCTACACAGATGCACAAAACTCTGATCACTCCACCTCCGGAAGGTAGTTTTCATTCAGATCACTCCTTGTCACTTAATCGTGCCACCCACTGGAGTTTCTGTGGCCAAATGCCTGAGGGATTCTCAATAGAGCAACTTCATACCAGCTTCATGCACTGCTTTGTTTAAGCTGCAAAGCGCAATGCATAATGAGACCTCCTAAAAGCTTAGTTAAAAAAGGAGCAGGAAGATGAAGACTGATGCTTGCTAGGACATGTCTTTATACCTTACATGAGCGTGATCTAAACAGTGAGCTCTCACCCTTCTTTTGTGTTCCCCTAACACTTTCCAGAACAGGAATCTGCAGTGGGGTCTTAGGGCCCAAGAGCATCACACAGAAAGCATTTGTTTGCATTTGTTTATAGCATTTTGTTCTTTAATTGTGTGACCTTAACACAGTGATGTACTTTGTTATGTAACAAACACAATATGCACTTCCAGTGTGTGCAGAAACCAAGACTGCTAGTACAGGAAGAGGGTTCCCTGAGCTGGAGCTAAGCAGATTTCAGGACTATTCTAAGAATGAACTATAGGTTAATTGTAAGCACTAAGTCACAGCTGCTGCTGCCGCTGCCATTGGTAATAAAGATGGGACCTGTTTGAGAACTGGAGGCGATTAGATGGTGGTATTATGTAACGCACTGAGAACTTTTTTTTTTTTTTTTTTTTAACTAGAACAAAACTAGTTTGCAAAGTCTTTGCTTTGGATAGGTCAGAAGCTAAAAAAAAAAAAGCTACACTGTATTATAAATATAGGTATTACATGTAAACATGTCTAAAGGACCCTCCTTAGGAAACGGGGGTGGCAGATGGTTGTCTTATTACTACAGAACTGGAAATGTTACAAAGGTTTCATAAATGTCATTCTCCTGTGTTTGAGGACTGCAGGCAACTTCTGGTGGCCTGATCTGTATGTGGATCAAAGGTTGTTGGAAGTGTAAAATTCTATTTTTAAGTTTCTACATTTTGTAAGGTCCCATAATCTAAAAACATTCAATGTCTCTCTTACATCATTGTCTTATTACTACAGAACTGGAAATGTTACAAAGGTTTCATAAATGTCATTCTCCTGTGTTTGAGGACTGCAGGCAACTTCTGGTGGCCTGATCTGTATGTGGATCAAAGGTTGTTGGAAGTGTAAAATTCTATTTTTAAGTTTCTACATTTTGTAAGGTCCCATAATCTAAAAACATTCAATGTCTCTCTTACATCACACT